CAGTGTTTTTGCATCATGCGTCCCCATGCTTATAGATGTTTAAACATGGGTTTTCGGACGATCCCCATGTGGATGCTGTCCGACATTCTGGTATCGATGCCCCGCCGTCTTGCGCGCAAGGGAATTCGTACTTATGGTGTCTTTGATGCTGCATCGCATCGTAGTCGTCTTGAATGCGATAGCATGCCATGACGCTGCAGCCCAGCCTTTTGGGAGGGCAGAATCTTGTGCAATGAACCAGACACATGTCTTGCTGAAATATCCAGGACTCACATCACGGACTTGAAAAGGACAGACATGGGAGGGTAGCTTCACCCGCGCGAACTTGACGGGATCTTGCCAAACCTTGAGCACGGATGGAACATGAAATCGTGGGCAACACACCATGCGATGGGCAGCTTGATGAATGGCAACATGGAACGCCAGCTGATTGCAAAACGCAGCCGTTCAGAAAGAAACTGTTCATGCTCGATCCATTGCTGGTGGCCGCGCGCGGTTCCCGAATTGTGCCAACACGCCTGTGGACACCTCTGACCTTTTTTCATGTAGACTCATAGAAGCAGAGTGCCAGCCATGCCGTGATTGCAGTGCCAGAACAAGTGCCAGCCAGTGTCAAATCAGTGCTTGCAACCGTCGGGTTCTTTGAAGCAGTTGCCTGCATGCCACTCAGTCGTGAGGAGTTGCCAACTCTGCTTAGATGTGCAAGATCTCAAAGCATACACTTTCATTTTCCAACCAAGGACCACAAAAAGTGATAAACAGGACGCAGGACAAGAATGGGGTGCAGGGTCAGAAGACCACTAAACAAGCCAGGACCTACAAAGCAGAAACTAGACAGATGGGACCATCCATATGCAGAGCCTACTCCTTTGTAGTTCAACAACAAAAGCAATAATGTCTAGAATCAGGGGAGGGTTGCATGAGTGTGTGTGTGTGTGTGTGTCTGTGCGTGGGACGACCTGTTTCGTGAGATTGTGCAGGTTGCGCCACCCTCTTCGGTATTGTCATGCTCTAGTTCTCATCCAGGCTCTGGGTGAATTCCGATGACCCTTCAGTCGTCGCATTCATAGTCAATGTCATGTCTAGAATCCACTGGGTCAGCGCTTGTGTTTCTGTTGGGCATGGGCTCTCGTCTGGGCGCCAGGCAGAAGCTCCACCCTGGCCCCGGCGCGCCTAGCAGCGGGCCCAGGCTCTGGGATCCCGTTTTCCTGAAACATCATGCAGAGAAGCGCATGACGTTGTGAATGCCTGAAGTCCTTGATGGTCTTCTTCTCATCCATCTCCTCACCTTCGTAGGCGAACGTAATCGTGTCCTTAGATGGGTTCAGCCTGTTCCCGTCAATTGACTGCCACGTGAGCCTGCCTCGGAGATGCTGAGTTTCTGGGCCATGGCCACCTGCACTTGAATAATGTTGAAACATGTTGAATGCCTCTGCCTGATCCTCTCTAGAGAGACTAGGGCGGCCTTCAAATCAGACAATGGTGTCGATTTCGCCTTCAGAAAAACTTCAAGCAAACATAGCAACAGGTGATGCTGGTGAACTAAAGCAGCGGCCATCTTCACGACATAGCCACCTGGTATAGCGAGAAGCAGTCAATATCGCTGATACACCGCTACACGCAGTCTCATATGTCTCAAAAACAACCGGACGCCTGCAGGGATGTCCTGACAAGCGGAAATCGGCTGCGCCAACAGAGACAAAAACAGAAATATGTGTGTGTTTCAAAAGATCCTTTCGAGTGCTACACACACCCAACCATGTGGTCAAGCATTATTCGCCAATTTACAGGTCCTACAAGTCCCATTGACATGTTGGTTTCTGCTTCGATGGCTCGGCCTTGTTTTACAGTCTGTGCTTTGAATTGGCAGCGTCTGTGTCAGATTTCGGCTTGACTCTCTGAATTGCTGTGTTGCCGATTCGGCAGACGCGCTTCCCGCTTACAATTGCTCTTGTAAACACAAGACAATGGGCTCTCGAGCATCAGCTAAGAAGTTTGAACCCAAGCGTATGGCGTATGGATGCTACGTTACGACACACATGGCACAACAGTGAGAATCAATCGAGCTACAAGTACTGAGGCAGTCCTCACCGTAGGTAGTTCGCACCGGCCTGCATGAACCAGCCCCCAAAGACATAAGAGCATAGTGAAAGGACGAATCTCCGAAGCCTGATCTGCACGGCATTGTGCGGATCGCCACCAATCTGGGGCAACTCTTCCGTGGGCTCGGGTTCCGCCATGGAAAAAGGGCGCTCTCCGAGCAGAGACTAGACTCGCGACTGACCGACGTAGCCTCAGGTAAATGCTAGAACGCTCCTCTCAGGCATGCCGAAATCGAGTAACGCCTTAGGGACCAAATCCTCAACTGTCCAAGTCTGGTTTCGTCCATGCGAGAGCAATGCATTCATTCAAGTCATTGGAGCTGCTGCAGTTCGAGCCATCCGTTCACAGCCATCCGTTCACAGCCAGCATGGCATGATCATGACGCTCTGTTGCATGCGGCACAGGTAACTTCTGCATCCATGTGGGCTGGCACCTTGTCTCGAGGTCCGCAATGAGACCCTGTGCAGGAAGGAGAGAATTGCCAGAGAAAGAGAAGTGCCCTGCAGTTGCCCTGCAGTCCTGAGCCACTCGAGCCGGCCAGGCCCAGCCACTCAAAGCACCTGCACCTGTCACTGTCCCAGACAGCTTGCCATCGGCCATTCGAAGGTGAGCTGAGCGCCAGTCTCAAACGGAGGCATGGCGCAGCCGGTTGCAGAAGTGAAGCTGAGCTGAGCCCATCAAGAAAACCATGGAATTGCAGTGTTGCGCCATGATCATGTCTTCAGCAAGTATGGGCCCGACTGACAGCCACATAATCAGTTTACGGCAAAAATCTTGCTCGGCAGTGCGTCCTTTGCAGCCGCATTTCTATGAACACCCGTGGCAAATTGTTGCAGAACTCACTTTCACTGACAACAATATTGCGGATACCATCATCATCACCACCATCATCATCATCGACATCTCCACCACCACCACCACCACCACCACCACCACCACCACCACCACCACAACCATCATCATCATCGTCATCATCATCATCATCATCATCAGCCTCATCATCATCATCATCATCATCATCATCATCATCGTGATCGTCACTTTTTTGTCGTCGTGGTCGTGGTCGTGGTCGTGGTCCCCGTCCTTGTCCTCCTCCTCCTCCTCCTCCTCCTGCTGTTCGTAGTCGTCGTCCTCCTCCTCGTCCTAGTCTTCGTCGTCGTCCTAGTCCTCGTCGTCGTCCTGATCCTCGTGGTTGTCCTCGTCCTCGTCCTCGTCGTCGTCACCGCCAACAACATGATCGTGAACGTGATCGTGGTCGTGGTCGTGGTGGTCTTGGTCGTGGCCGTGGTGGTCGTGGTGGTCGTGGTGGTCGTGGTGGTCGTGGTGGTCGTGGTGGTCGTGGTGGTCGTCGTGGCCGTGGTGGTCGTGGTGGTAGTGGCCGTGCGAGTAAGCAACATCTGCGTCACAGCTTGAGAGGTTCGAACGCGCGAAACTAGGAAAATTTGCACATCTCATTTTTTTTGCAGGCATTAGAGAAGTGCTGAAAGTGCTCAAAGCTGTGGTTCAGACTTCCATTTTTTTGTCTATCCATAGTGCGTTTAATGCGATTTTGAAAAGGATTTCTATATGGGGGCCCCGATTTGAAAAGAATTTTTAACAGCTTGATGCCAGGAATCGTGCTGGCACTCCGACGCTCCCGCACCAGAGTGTCTGGCGCAGGTTACTTCATGGCCTGCGGCTCACATCCGACGTTTCTTCGACTGGACAATGTCCTGGGGACGCACTGCTTTAAGTGGCCCTACAGGAACCGTATCATGTTTTGGGCATGGATGCTCTTGTTATCTCATGCTCTTGGAACACGAACGTTATTATGCTTTGGGCATGGATGCTTTGGTTATCGTATGCTCTTGGAACACGAACGGAATTCTGCCTTGGGCATGGATGCTGTGGTCACCGTATGCTCCTGGAACACAAACGTTATTATGCTTCGGGCATGGATGCTGTGGTTATCATCTGTTCTTGGAGCACCAGCGTTATTATGGTTTGGGCACAGACGCTCTGGTCACCGTACGCTCCTTGTGCACGAACATTATTATGTTTTGGGCATGGATGCTCTGGTCATCGTACGCTCGTGGAACGTTATCAGTTTTATGCTCTTGAAAGTTGAGCCGTATTCTCTTGAAGCACGAGCATTCTTGTGCGCGGAATCATGAACGCAGCGTGCAGGATCTTGGACAACACGGCACAGCTGGGAATCCGTCAAGTACAGCTGACTAGCCAGCGATTGATCCGCCTTCTACTCGGAACTCTGTGATGCAAAGGAGTCTTTCTTGAGCTCTCACAATCGGATTGCCTGCCCTCTTTTTTTCATGTCGGCGCTGGAAATGGAAAGCTTCTGCGCAATCATTAACTCAGTATGCTGCAGGGCTTGGCCCCATGGGTTGCCCATGGCCTTCTGCAGGATTCCTTCCACAATCCATTTAAGCGTTCTGCTGGCAGTCTGGTAGCCTCTGGCACAAAGAGTAGTTGAAAGGGAAGGACTGCTGAATGCACCAAATTCAATGGAGGGTGCCACTTGCTGCATGGGAGGTAACTACTTCAGGCAAGTTCCTTCGGAAAACCTTGCTATGCAGCACGTGATGCCGAGTCCTACTTGGCCATTCAAGTCTATGCTGTCTGGATCAGCCTTGCAAGTGTAGCGCGATTATGTTGGTGTACAGTTGGCTGGAGAAGCACCCATTCTCTCAGCTCCACACAACAGGATGGCAAGCACAGTCCAACCTCATCTATGAAAGCATTCCAAAATCGGCCAGGTTTTCGGTTCGACTGGGTCCCCATCCAGCAACTTCCCGCGCGGAGCCCCCAGTCAGAAGAATGTTGCCCCCCTTGGGGTCAGCACAGCTGATCTGGGCTCTTGCATGCAGCTTCTTAAGGCTCGAACACCAGGAGTATTCCAGCCATCTTCGTTGGCGCTTAGCATGGGCCTCTGAATCTGAAGTCGCCATCTGAAGAGGTCTTAAAGTCACTGAGGTTTGTACGGAGTGGTTGCAGGCGGAGGCGGGAGACAGTACTCCATCTGACCCTCCAGAACTGTCTCGTTCCAAAGCACCAAATCAAACCTGCATCAAAAACAAGTTGTCTCCAGCTTTGCTACTCAGGCAACAAGTCTCACCCAAGCCGCCCGCATGACAGTCAGATTGAAGGAATCCTTGCTCAGGAAGTTGGGCCTGAGCAACCCAAGAGGGCACCAAGCACCTCCATTGTAGGGCAGTGAGGAAGTCGACTTGGTCTGGAGCAAGTATGCGAAGCGCCAGTTGATTCGAGCAGCGTTGAGCACGTAGATCACGTGCTCATCGTAGAGCCTGAACCACAAACCCAGAAAGGCAGCTGAACATCTTTCAACATGGTGCTCTGGGTGCAAAGCGAAGCATTCGCCATAATAATCGTGTTGTAGATCGTGGCATTGGTACATTGCATGCGAAACTCCTGCAAAGAAACAGAATTACTTGGGCTGGCATTAAGCTGCGCACGCGTGCCTCGATCCAAGAAGCTGGCGGCGACTGGACGATTGGCCTATCACAGGCTTTGAACCAAGTCGCCTTCCTCTGCTTGTGCTGACCAAAATTCATACTGTGGGTTGCCACAGCTGTGATCACTCTGGACCCTCCTCCCCATGCTGGTCACCACAAGCGATCATTCGAATTCTAAGTCCCCTAAATCCACGCATCCCATGCGAAGTGCAGACTGATGGAGCGCGATGTTAGAAGAAGCTTTATGGCAATGCTGCTTAGGGCTGCGGCTCCGGCAGGTAGATGCTGCCGAGGCCGTGTGTTGAGGGCCGTCTGACATACCTGGCTCATCCTTGCTTATGACTGTGAGCGACCCGAATGGTAGTCTTTTTGCTTTTGCCAAGTGCCAGCTTATTCCACATCCAAATGACAGGTCAGAATCGTGTAAGGATGCTGGCCAAAGGAGGATACAAACAACACGAACTTGATGAACACATCGCCACAAGCCGTTCGACATCACCATTAAGTGCATTTGGGCCCGTAAGCATGCAGCGGGGCACGCAAACCAAAGGTAGCCCTGCTCCCTTGGCAGCTTGAGATTGTGCTTATGGAGCATCACGACTGTGACCAAAGTGCCGGGTGCCGGGCGTGGTGGAGAAGCTGCCAGTCAGTTGGATGGTGGGTGGAGGATAAAGCTGGGTCACCTCTGTCAGATCTTGATTTGCAACAGACTCTCTCTTGTTTGCTCTGATCTGAGCCAGGTTCGTAGATCAGCTCATCATGAGCCACATAGTTGGTCGTCAAAATAGAGATTGCATTTCCCTCGGCCTGAGCCGCACGAATTTTGGAACCTGCCTTTGGCCTGTCAAGTCTCTACCCAGCCTCACACACAAAAATGAAGTGCCGGTAAATGGAAACACCTTAGCTTGGCCATCTCAAACCCCAAAATAAATGGCTACCCGTTGAATATCTCAGCAATGCTCCAACTGGATCCAGAAGACTCTCATTGTAGTTCACCTTGCACTCAGAAACACGTCATTGGTACATGCCACGTACATGCGCAAAGGATATCCGGGGCCGCAGACGCCTGTAACATCTCGAAAGTATTGCCCGCCCCATATCAGAGTTGGCCTTCGCTATTTCGAGATCCAAGATGATGGCAGCAGCACAGCGAGGTAAGGCTCCAGCATCTCTCCTCTATAGGTTGGATGGCTTGGGTCTTTCCTGGGGAACAACCAAGTATCATGTCATGCCAGACAACGTCCAAGCGGACCTGTATGCCAGGCGAAGCTTAACAATTCTGTTGTTGCCACGGTCTGCAACCTGGAGTTCCACTTCGCCAACTTTTGTAATTCTCGCCCCAGAGATGAGTGGGCTGGGAGGAGCACAAACACTGCTGCGATCGTTGGTCCGAAGAAACTCTCATCTGAGCAGCCAAGCTGGCAGTTATCTGGCATTCACACTTGCAGTGACTTCTAGGAGGCAAGAAGCCTGTTGGCGCCATGACCGCAAGGCCCGTCGGCAAGTTGAAGCCTGTCCTGTCACTTCGGGCCTGCCATGCCAGGCCACTAAAAGCACTAGCTGGCAAGGCGCAGGCAATACGCAATATGCCCCCCACCTGACCAGGCACCCCGAAAGACTCCACGTATTGCAAGGCTGAATGGCTTGTGGCATCTAGGAACAAGATGCGGTGATTTCCTGCAGGGCTGCGAATCAACTGACAATACCGACTTTGTCAGATGGCCTGTGTCAGAGACGAAGAAGTACCGATTTCGAGCATGCGGAAACAGCGGAGTTATCGGAAAGTCTGGTGCAATGTGAGTGGAGTTGTAGGACTGGTACCTGCAATCTGTGGCATCCAGACGGATAGCTGAGCAGTACGAACACAAAAGCGGACACTGCAAGATAAGTAGGAAATCTGAGCTCGGTATCATCTTGGCTGTGCTCCAAATCACCCATATGAACATCTGTAGTTGCTGCAGGCGACGCCATGTATCACCACATGCTCTGAGAGCGGCACCTTCGACAGCTTCCTCAGAGCAATATGACCAATGCGGTCAGCAGCGCAGCATGCGAACCCAAATTTAGCAAAATGGATCCTGCACTGAATTGGGCATCGGGCCATGTTCATCTTGCCCATGGTGCTGACAGCAACCTCTTGAGTCGCAGACTCGCCCCACGACACGTTGAACCTAATTGACAAGCTCGCACGTTGCGTGTTGACTTTGGAAATCTGGCTGTGCACAAGTGTCATAGCGCTTCTCATGGACTGAAAGATTCCGCGAGAACCATACTTTTGAATTCGCAAGCGGGTTGTCTAGTGCAACAAAATTCCTCGGACTGTATCTTACGCCAGCCGTCTGGAACCTTCAGGGCCTTGGCCGACATTACTTCTTCATCATCTGCCAGGCAGCAAGTAGGGTATCAACATGTGCTTTTTGGAGACAGTCAGTTTCTTTGGAAGCGGGACCTGATTGGAAATGGTTCTTTCAGGTTCGTACCAGTCTTGCCGGGCAAGAAGCTAGCAGTTGAGGCCATGAGACAAGAATACCAGGCACGAAAACAGGTTGCCCTGCATTCTGTCCAGGAGGGGCGATGATCTGGTGCTGAAATTCACTTGATGTCTATGAAGCAGCCCTTGCCAAGTTCCGTACTCTTGCAAACGATGCCTATCTACCTGAGCGCATCCATTCGAGAGTCTTGCGCTCAGCACATGCTTCATTGGCAAGATGAGGCTGCAACAACGACAAATCCAGTCAACATCGGAGTCACCGACGCCACTTCACCTGGACATGGTTTTGCGCCGTAGGCTGCGAAGTAATTGAAAGGATCCAGAGTAAGGAAGAGCTGGGCTGTGCACAGAACTGTGTGAAGTCCAAACATGAATTTCCTCCAAAAGTTCGGACCTGTGCATCACGTGGACCTCCACAAGTCAAACTTGAGTTCCAAGGCTCCGGCTGGAGGACGATTTATGTCCCATTTTGCTCGCTGGGTGGTAGACAAAACCTTAGCCACTACACAAAATGCCAGAAGCCCATATTACGGAGGTAAACGAAACTTGAAGCGACAGTGACAGCAGCTCATTTGTGCTCTCAGGTTCAGTGGAAACCCGTCCAATGATTGCTGACATTACTGGGCTCGCCAGTTGTAAAACTGTCCCGGTATGTCCCGGTTCAGCTGCCTTGCTTAGGTGGCAACGTTGAGCTGGTAGATGGGCCCGCCAGCTTCGACAAGCGTGAGAACCTGCCAGCTGGAGCTTCGCACTTCACCCTTGTAAGAACAGAAGCTGTGCGCCTCAGCAGATTGCGTCAGCGCCAGAAACGAGATACTGCTGACCTGGAGTCCGCGAACACCCAATTTGTCAAACCACATTCGTGCTCGAAACAGCCTTCGAGTTGGTGCCAATGAGCAAAGTCATAGGGATCTCACCGCAGAAATTGATCTCTACCTTTGCATACATGTGATGCTTGCTGCCTGCAAACTCTGAAAATGCTTCGGAACTCTGAGCAGCCGGGCAGGCGGCAGACTAAAGATAGGACCGTAGGACTGCGCGAGCACTTGAGCACTTGCTACATTTAGCTTCAACAAAATCTGCACATGTTCTGTCACATTTAGGCAGGCTCCTCAGGCTGGCGTGCGGCTTTACAGCGCTCCTCCTTTTCATCCGCCTGGCTTCCAAAGGCCCAGCTTCAATGAAAAGACGCATTTACCTTGGACTGGGGCACCAATTCAGTGGTTTGCAGCCGTCTGCCGAATGGGCTCCACGATTCCGAAACCCCCCGTCCGACCTCAAAGAGCAGTGCTCACTCCATTTACTTTTTACAGTGCCGAAGAAGCTGCAAACAGGGTGCGGAAAGACTAGCTAACGTGCATGCCGCGAATGCAGCTGCCACACATCCCAGGTACCGCGGCCATTGGGCCTACCGCAGTGTGCGCGCATCAAGCACTTCATGGCACTTCTGCACATCACTTCTACGGAGGTGACAGGCGTCCCTCCTTCCAGCCCCAAGGCCGGCGACGACGAAGGCCTACATCTTTCAAAGGCATGCTTGGGCCTAATGGCAGCTGCAGCTAATGTGGCGGGGCTGCAAACTTTCACTGTCACATGTGCTAGCCAAGCAGCGGCGAAAAAAAGAAAAACGTGTCATGCTGCAGGACGACACTATTTTGCTCACAAGCTAGGCTGGTGATGCCGAAAGCATCGGTCCAAGATCTACGCAACGGGGAGCCTGACTTTGGCTTCGAGTTGTGGCTGCGGAGGCTAAACGTATGTGGAAGGGGAAAGCTCGCGGTTGCACGCAGCTGCGGCGTTGAAGATATCCCTTCAGCAGCCTTCGAGCTGGGCTTGCTGGCAGATGTGGACCCACTTTGGCAGTGCTCTCAATCCAGCCTGAGCGCTAGAAAGTGGCAAGCATGCAACTCCGGAATGCAGCGCTGACGAGCATTTCAACTGCTGCTGGCACGGATTGACCCGCCAAGCCGCGAGTCCACATGGATGGACTTCTTAAGACCTTCCTGCGACACTGAAAGAAAGGCGTTTTCATGAAAGGCACAAAGAGGTTGGCCTGGCTCTTCACTTTTTTGGGGCCACTGACCTGCAGACATATGCAAATCAAGTCTGACAAGGCACTCGGCTGTCAAGCAGAGCACCTCAAGTCGTCCTTGATTCCGAGACCAAGAAGCCTGCATCATTCGTTGGGTGTGCCAACATGCGCGGGCCCTGGGTGAATGCAGTCCTCCAATTTGCCCTTGTCCAGCGTCTCTGGCACGAATGTCTTGACAAGGAGACTCCTGTCATTGGACAAGTGACAAAAGCCCCAAGCCCTGCCACGAAAAGACGAAGGGCTGAGATGCGTTTCCATGTGCCCGAGACTTGGCATCTTCAAGCCCCATCCGGCTTGTCATGGCTGTGAGAATCACCGCGCAATGCTGACTGCCCCCTCCCCTGTCGCCTGGAAACCTGCAATAACCACAGGCACACTACAACTCCAAATTGCCGGGGTGGCCCCTGAGTCGAGAGATCTTGTAAAAAGGGGTGATCCGTGTCAAAAACAGAACAGGCTGCACGGGTTGTGCCAGAAAAGGTGAGCACTGCTTGTTAATGTAGAGTTTCTGATTATACAATAGGAGGCATAGGCGACCTATGCTTAATGGTCAAGCTGTTCGATGAATGTCGTGCAGGAACTGTCTGGCCATCCAGTTACCTACGCGGACTACGTGGCACTCCCTGGCCTACAAAAGGTCCTATACAGGATCTGGTGTGTTTATCTGATAAGAACAACCTGTCAACTATGCAGACTGCGCGGACAAGACAACCTACATGTGGCTATGTCAGACTACGTCGGCTCGCGCGAGAAGATGAAACAGCTAAACGGCCAGACATTGGAGTCAAACCTAGGCCATGCCTGTCAATCGCATTACATGGTGATCGCGGTGACTGTAACAGAATGCCCCTACACCGTGCTTTTCGATCTCATCACATGATGGGAGGAGTGGGCTTGTGGTATCCTATGGGTTTGATTGGAGTTTCTACAAATTTTCTGGGACTTTCCGACGCACGGTTTTGGACTTTTGGACCCGGCACACCTGAGGTCTCTCACGCAACCTTCCATGTGTTTATTGACTCGCTAAGCCTCGCTTTTTGACTAATGATGGCAGAATCTGGAACCTTTTGCTGATTCGGAAACCTTCCAGGCTGCCATCCCTGAGAAACAAGATGAGGCTGGATACGCTGGGAAGGACACCTCTGGCTTTGACATCATCAAGCAGCTGCATTCACACTTTTCCTCCGCCCACCTGGACGCTGCAGTCGCGACCCTCACGCGTGCGTTCTGGATCTCGGCTGAAGTGGTCAGGAACGGGTGGTCTGCGTTGCAGTATGGTGTAAGACATATCGCTTGCAGGCATATCAACGGCAGTCGCGCCAGGAAACAACACCCAACGCGAGGGCGGCTGTAGCTGCATCATCATTGTGATAGAACCTCGCGGTCGGTCCAAAGTGGGTCCCTGAGCCCAAGCTTTCTATGGACCACTTTGAAGACGTGCTTGACGCAACCTATCAGTTTGCCACCATGTGGCTTTTTGCGAGGCCAGCACAATTCATTGGCGCTGTGTCTTGCGCTCTCTGCATGTGGATGCAAAAGGCACCCTCTGCCACTGAGAAGAATACATTTCCCTGCTCGTTTTCTGATCATGTTGGTGATTGCAGCGGCTGCAGCTCCAAGATTTCAGTGTTGGGACGAACTGGATGTTCTCGAGCCTAAGCAAGCGACCATGGGAAGAGAACTGGAACAACAACTGACGCGTCTGGATCTTGTTAGCTTCGGGCGAAACTTTAAGCCAGGAGATGCTCCAGCCAGTGTGAAACCTTCATGCCACAAGCGGGCTGGGGCCAGACACTGAGACAGACTGAGACCCTGTCCATTCAGCTCAACAGCAAGCCAAATGTCTCGCTCCTGCCAGAAAGCACAGGTGGAAACAGCTGAAAAATTCTTGGCAACCGATGCTTCTCCCAACACCTTGTCAGCCAACTCCAGCGGCTCTTTGCCTTTGCTTTCTTTGCCCACGGTCTCACACGCAACTGCAGTGAGCTCGCGATATGCATGATAGCAGCCGATGCTGTGCAACACATGCCCAAAACTACAACACATACACACAAAGCATGAGATGGCTTCTTGAATTGCTGATCAGGTATGCAGCGTACTTACATTCATTTGCCCGCGAATTGTTTTCTTCCGACTCATGGCAGGATGACTTGTTCATGGCCAAGATGTGACACAAGAAAAAAGCGTGATCGAATGTGAGTGATGCAACAGGGCGCAGCAGACTAAGGAAAGGAGCAGGTGGTTGCACGTATAATCAGATGATGTGGATACTTGTGAAAGATGGCGATAGGCACAACTGACGGAACGCATAGGATGCTGAGGAGGATGTAAACGATCGGTTGTGAGGATGATGCTATGACGATGATGATAATGATGACGACGACGACGATGATGATGATCATGATGGGATGGAACAGAATGTGCGTAATTTAACAACCATGACAGCAGCTAAGCTGGCCGTAACCTCGATTGTGATCACCCCTATGATGGTGATGATGGTGGTGGTGGTGCTGCTGCTGATGATGATGATGTTGCCACGTTCATGCTACTGAGAGTGGAAAGGATGACCATAACCATGGTCATACCCTGTCCGAAATCAACTGGCGATAGCGATGACTGCTATTGAAGGGTATGATGCCAGCAGCGACTATGAATAGTGAAAGGCAGCAAGACTCAGTAAGATCTAGCAGCAGAGATGAAGATGAATGACAATCTGGCCTTCGATAACAGATGATGAAGGGTCCGATGTTGAAGCAATCCTGGCAATGACGGCTGTTGTGGTCAGACGCGGTGGGTTCAACAGTACTGGAATTGTAAACAAGATGGTGGTGCTGGTCTTGATGATCATGGCGACAGTGGTGGTGATGATGATGATGAGGAGGAGGAGGATGACAACCAAGGCAGAGACAACGATAACTTTTCCAGGACAGGGCATTTGAAACGAATAATTTAAATAAAAGCGACAACGATGCCGACGATGCTAATGAAGACGCTGACAGCTAGGCTGCTGATGGTGATGATGATGATGATGATGATGATGGTAATATGATGGTGGCAGCCATCATAATCAGCCCCAACATCCTCGTTCCTATCTTGAGCGCCATCGTCATCGTCATCACCGTCATGTGTTAATCATTTCGAAGATCACATGTGAAGATTCCTCAACTGCCGTGTCTCCACTCTGCTTTGGCTCAAAGCAGGGAGGGAAGAGGCTCGAGCTTGGCCAAAAGCAACTGGGCTGTGGGATTAGGGCTACCCTTCCGAAAGCAGGGCTTTCATCCCAACTCACCTTTGGGAGTGAGGGAACTTCAGCGGTCTTCGTTTCCAGGGTTGTTGGAAGGTGCTATAAGTCCTTGTCGTTGTTTTGCAAGGCAGCACCGAGCTACTAGAATCACATGGGTGGCGTAGCCCGGCCGGCCGATCGGCTGCTATCTAGATGGGACGTGAAAGGTTCTAGACGTGTAAGCAGGGGTGGAAAATAGCAACTGGACTTCGAACCCATAGCGGGAACTGCTGAGACATCGAGTCCTTGCAAGGAAGGGCCAGCGGGGTACAGCAGTCAAAGGGGGAATGAACCACTTGCTGCGCAAGAGACTCCCAAGTTCATCCCGTGGGATACCAATGTGGATGAATATGCCAAACGTGCAAAAATCTTGGCAGATTTGGTCACCGTTGCCCTTTCATCTTCTAGGGCCAAGTATAGCTGTACAGGTTGAAGGTACGGCTTTTCAGAAGATCTGTCGCTTGCAGCCCGCAAAGCTGCACAGCTCCAATGGCATGAAGCTGTTAGTGGAGTCCTTCCACGAAGCTTGGGACCGTCCACTGTTGAGGAAAAGTATTACGTCTTTGAAGATAACATCCGTTGTTTCGCCCGACACGAAAGACAGGTTCAATGCCATTGCGGGCTCCAGCGGGCCCACCCAAAGCTTGACTGCTACTCCCTCGAGCACTAGGGTCCGATGGTCTGCCTGCTGCCACGGCCGCCACTTTGCAAGCGGAAGCCTTTGTCAACGCCGCGCGTGCGAAACCTATCACCACTCAAACCTCGATTGCCAAAATCACTTCGGCTTCGCATGTCTGCGAAGTCCCTTGCCCAGAAACAATAGGCAAAAGGCCTACGATGTAGTCAGGCTGCGCAGGCGAGACTGCTTCGAGCACTGCAAGGCTCGAAGGTTCCAACGGAACCCCATCTTCAGCAGCTGGAGCCGCCATGACAAAGGTGTAGAGGGGCTAGCTGAGCAGCGTACGGAGCTGCGCTCACTCAGGGCTGACCTTGAACGGGCGCCAGCCTCCGCCCAGTCTGCTGAGAGAAGCGCTGCCTAGACCTTCTCAATCCTTCCCACGCATTTACCTTCTCGGTCGAAGGGCCGAGCCGATCCGAGTAGATCCTTCAGGGGACTAGGGCAAGATGGGCCAGGAAAGAGAGGCGCACGGAATTGACACTCTGCGGCAGAAGGGGAACCTTCAGGACTACACCCTAAACGAGTAGGGGCAGTAGGGGCCTAAGGCAGGGAAAGAGCCCACCGGATCAGCACTATCAGGTAGCAACCCAGAGCTGACCAGACTCTCATGCGGAAGGGAAGCCCTGAGAACTAAACCCTGAACCCCTAAGTCCCAGCGCAAGGAACACGCAACAACCCCAAATTGTCCAAACTCTAACGGACGGAGCAGAAGGATGCAGCTAATGAAGGTCCAGCAATGCAGGACAAACAGGACAGGGATCCAGCAACTGAGCGGGACTCAAGGTCTAGAGCAAGTGCTAGATCAAGCCAGCAACCGACCCAAACGGCACTCCGGACAGAGAAGCAATGCAAGGTCCGTGGACATTCACCTGAGCCAGAGAAAGCCGGTCGTTGGCAGAAGGATGTTGCTCATGTTTCTGAGCCATTCTCAAACAAACCCTGGACCCGCCGGAGGTTGAGATGTGGGTTGGTGGGTTGGGACAGAGAACTGGGCGCACGCCACAGCACACGTCTTGCGTGGTGGTGTGCAGGGAACATTGGCAAACCAAAGCCTTAAATCCAAACCCTAGAAGACCCGAAACCCTGTAGGCCCTCTACCCGAAACCTAAACTTTGAAGAACCCCAAATTCTGAAGCTGAACCCTGGAGCGCTAAACCCTGAATCCTGCAAGCCCAAACCTAAACCCTTACCCTTAACCCTAGTACAAGCCCAACGCCACCAACCCTAAATCCTACTGAGCTTTAAACCGTGTTCCCTACAAGACCCAAACCCTAAAGAATCCCAAATCCTAAAGAACATTAAGCCCTGAACTTTCTAACACGGGCAGTGCCTTGGGCAAACCTAGGAGTATGGGCGACCCCCCTCAAGCCCATAATGAGTAGAAAGTGCATCACTGCGCGCTCCGTCTCAAAAAAACTGGACTTAAGAGCAAGCCCCATATTTGGTCTGGGAGCGCCCACAAAGGCTTGAGAGCGATTTGGTCGGGAGCGGTTACTTGCTAACGGCGGGCTGAGGGAAAACACCTGTTTGAGTTCTTGGCTTTGCTTTCGCGTCCTCTCAAATCCTGCTACTTGCTATGCTTGATTTGTTGATTGATTCCGTTCGCACGTTGCCAAACGCCAAGGCGTGCATCAGAAGCAGACTGCAGAGCAAAACCCAAAACTCAAGGGCAGAACCCGAGAGGAACTCAAAAAGTTCACTTTTGCAGGACTCGAGAGCAATTGGCAGGACGTGAAAGGATGCGAGAGCTAAATCAAAAAACTCAGAAGCAAAAAGCTCTAAAGTGAGCTTTTCGAACTCCAAACCTTATGCAATTTCTATTAACCTCGCCTGAAAAAACCTGCCCCGCATGCACTCTAGCCATTCCACAGCAATTCCTGCATTTCAAGTTGCCGAGAAACCAAGCTGTGAAAGCCAAGAGCCAGGACCACGCCTACTAGCATTCAGTTAACTTTGCGAGTGATGCGATGCTCTGCTTGCCTCCTCACGACTGCTCAAAAGCAGCAAACAACTCTGCTCCGCAGATACGCACCGGTCTGTGTACCTCAAATGACAGTCAAGCTTGTAGATGTCTGCAACCACAACAGGCTCACGACTGCTGAAGATCTGGCACAGAATGGCATACATCTTGCATGAGGGGATTTGTTGCAGAAGTGGCACCTGCAACAAAGTGGGCACCTGCACCGACCCAAACACATCAAAGGATGTTAGGGGGTTCGCTTGCAGCCACCTTCTTCAGCGGGCAGGGTTGCAAACTCCAGCTCCCAGCTCAGCTCCTGGCATCAATCTTGTCTATGCTGCTGCACCTTGGCAAGAAACTGACCGGCTCCTTGCCTTTGACGCAACGTCGATCAGGTCGCGAGCAGCCATCTCTGCCTATCCGAAAAGAATTCAACATGTGGAATTTCCGAGAAGCTGTGCAGCACCTCCGGAGCTCGCGAAGGGACAAGCACAATCTGTCATGCGGAAAGGTCATACAAGCAAGAAGACAATCTGCCGCAATGCCTCGAACTTGAATTCTTGCAGAGAGGAAGCTAACCTGCTCACATTCTTCGCAGAGCTTCCCTTCTCCAGCCCTTTCCTAGCCTTGTTTTCCCTTCTCGACCAGAAGAAGCTGTACACCAGCACCTGATTTAGCAAGGTCCTGCAAGCCTACACAGTGAAGACTGGAAAGTTTCTATTCAGGCCAGCTAGCAGCCCGATGTAGATTTGCACAACTTCTCCGACGTCATGCGGTATCGGCGCCTTCCCGGCTGTGCGGTGTTTCTGCGTTGGACGTTTCTGTCAGCCTCTCCTCAGATTCGGACTCTGGACTGACGAGACCTCAAACGTGCCATGTGCTACCGATTGCTCTCTTCCCGGTAACTGGGCGCTGCTGGGAGCCACGCTCAGCGGCGCTGCAGGCGTTGAGTCCGAAGAAGTCTTTTGAGACTCCTTGGGAGCTTATGGGGCAGCGCTTTCGACGACATTCCATGAAGATGCTCCTTGCTCGCGGGGGATCGCGATCTCGACCGAGCCAGCATTCACCTACCCATCAGCCAACCACATTGTGCCAACGCAAAACGAACGACCGTGGCTCTCCGACCTGACTCAGCGGACGGTTCAGATGGTTGAAAGCCACTGCGGCTGCAGGCTGCTGAGCCAAAACAAATGCTTGCAACATCATACACGAGGGATCTGGAATGTAAACTTAGGCAAACATGTCAGAACTACCCTTCGGAATCCAGTAGCCGCAAGTACGAGTCGTTGATCTGCAACCTTGGCACTTTGCCATCTCACAATTGCTGATGTCAGTGTGTGCCCTGCCTTCTGCTAGGCTTCAACTCAGAAGTGGCAAGGCATATCAAATGAGGAGTCAGCTGGCATGCAGAGATGGCAGTCAGACAAGTAACCTTCCCCCGTTGCAAGACCATGTGGCAATGCGACAACAGTGATGGGAACGGCTATAGTGCTATAGCAACTGCTTCCGAACTTTGCCAGCCTTCGCTGAAAAAGACCATGAATCTGCCATCTCGCGCCAGTCCCCTGGCTTTGGCTTCCACTTGAGAAAGACCACATGACGATGACGACAACACCGTACAGCCACTAACACATACCCCAGTAGTCTAGAACCTCACACTATACCTTGTCTAACGCAGCCCACAAGGCCTTTGATTGCAGGTGCCTGCACCAGCCAACAAAACTGAAAAGATGTGTCGCCAATCACGTCGCCAACCAAGGCCCTGCCTGGAAAGTCTTTGGAGAAGTTCCTGCCATAGCTCCCTTGATCTTCTCGAAGTCTGACTGGGATGGGCAAGATGCTTCCATCTTGGCGTAGACTGCAAACACGAACAGAGAACTGTAAAGCATGGAAGCCTGTTTTGAGGCCAGCTCTTTGGCAGCCTGTGTTCTTGACCCAGCTTTTGGCAGATCACCTAAGCAAATCGCCTTGATGCTAGCTCCTATCACTCTCCGTGCCCACGTACCAGGGAACACGCTCAGCGTCTGGAGCTTGACAATGTTGACAATCGGCCTTAACAACACATCTTCAAGACGCCTTCCAGCGGAGCTGGGTACAAAGCCTTCTCAAAAAGCGTCAATTATGCTGCAAAACATAGCTTTCGGCCACTCCTTTGCGATGGCATCCAATTCGTCTGCATGCGCCTCCACCTGCTACAGGCAATCGGGAGGACCGCTGGATGTAAATTCTCTTTGCTCGAGCGCCTCCTTCTTGCTCTTCGTGTCCTTCAGCACTGCAGCTAACTGCATCCTTAGCCACATCTTTCGAGGCTGGCCATAGCTGTTGCCAACACTACAGGGCTCAAGCGCGCAGCCATTGAGAAGTCCTGTCGAGACCCAAACATTGGAGAGATGTAACTATGCGCGGCGCAACGCATGTCACCGGAAAATCTGCGTCCTTTTGGCAATTGCTTTTGGGCCTCTGGATTGCTGAGCACGGCCTTTGTTTGGACTAGATTGACAGTCATTGGACGATGTTGCATGCCAAGCGGAAGCAAAAGTGGCTTCAAAGGCAGCGGCACAGAGGTTTTCGATGAGGGCCGCGTCTTGCTTGCTTTCTTGGGCATGTCGCGCCAGAAGCCTGAGAAACTAACACGCCCCCGCCTATCAGACCAATACAGCTGCGACAAGAGCATGAACATGCCAGCTGGACAAGTAAGCTGGTAAATAGCCCTTGCGCCCTGCGAGGCGGAGAAACACAGTGGCCTGGTCAGTCAGCGAAATGTGGCTCACATGTTGGCTGCAGCTGAGTCGGCCTTTTTGAGGTCCTCCTTGAGCAGCGATGTACCGCTGCCTGAGCTGCATCTTGTGCACACTGGAGTCCCTGCCTGTCAGCATGCTCTACCCCCGTGCCAGACAACCCCATGTTCAGTCCACAGATGCGAAGAGTAGCGTTGATGCACTCTACTACATATCCCCAGAAAATGCATGCCGCAGTTCACTACTGGAGGCTGAAATCCCTGAGCCCCGCGCTTACAAGGCGTTGAAGCTCTGGATCAGATGGGGGTGGAATCGGATAATCTTTCAGCAGGCCGGTTTGTTGCTTCTTTAGCCAGTCCAAAGTTTGGCCAAACAGCTGGAGATTCGGGAAGTCTTCCTTGCCAGACTGGGAGGCCTGTGCTTGATCAGGGCGAGCGCTCCTGGAGGCGTCATGCCCGAACTTGAATGCCATCGGCATCCCACCCTTCGTCCTCTTCACTTCCGGCGTGCTGGGCGTAACCTGCTGATGCGGGCTCCAAAAGCATCTTACGCAATGTGGCGATATACCGAGCACAATGCTTGGCTGTCGTCCTGCTCGTGCTTGTGTTGTGACATCTTGTGAAGCCGCAAAAATGTACAAAAGAAGGGTGCAAATCTACGTCAGAAATTAAATCCGCCGACCTTTGTGGCGTGTCGGACCGTGAAGGGAGAGGAAGCCCTTCCTTCTCCCCTCTTGCACTAGAATGCACGTGGGGGTCCCCGAGCAAATTCTCCCTCACAGGCCTCCGAGCGGTCATTCTTCTGCCAAAGATGTTGGGTTGGGATTGCATTCAAAGTCCACTCATGTCGAGGCACCAGGCAATACCGAGTTGCTGATCGCTTCAGGGCCTTGGCACGGCGGCAAATCGGTAGTTTTGACCTGAGCGGATAGCACCAATGGAAAAACACGCTGTTGGGTGTGTTTGGGGACCCTCGACTGACTCTCCCTGGCTTGAATAATCATAAGCATTTGCAACCGTTTCCTTTGGGTGGCACCGACAGCACCAAGAAGACACCCCCCCAAAATGCCATAGAAAACTATAGCAGAGAGTAATCAGACAACGGCGTCGTGTTCGCACATGCTCAGTTCACCTATGGTCTGGCGTCAGTGGCTTGCGCTAGAAGCTCTTGAATCTTGCCACGCCACGTTCTGGTCCATGACGGATGTTGGCCCAGCTGAAGCTATGTTTTTGCCCGGGTTGAGAACGGCAGTTGCGCAATGCATTTGTTGGGACTCTCTTGTTCGCTCATCAAACCAGGCCTTCTGGTCTCCAATGTGAATGTGGGCTCAGATTTGTATGCGGCTTTTGATTCTTTCGATGCGTACCCTGACTATGCGGGTGCACCTTTGAAGCATTTCTGGGGTCCAGGACCCCTACAAAATTATGATTTTCAAGCGGCGTTTCGTAAAGTAGCTGCAAACTTTGCAAACCCCATCTGGTCAAAATTGTAATAGCTTTCGCGTCCCTAGTATAGTACCGTCCCTAACATCAGGAATCCTGTTGACAACCCCCCATCTCGGGTTTGAGCTGACAATGCTGGCCTTAGTGGCCAGCATCATCAGCATCATCAGCATCATTGTTCGCCCCCTTCTCACTTGAAGCCATTATGCTGCCACGCACAGCGCATGAGGTTCCATAAGGTCTATCAAGGCCTTGTGGTGGTGTTGTGGTGGTCTGTTGATGGCCTGATCAGAGCTTCAGAGGGTGCTAAAGGCTTTTGGTGTGCGCCCGGTGGTGCTGCCAACTTGCAGAGTTTCTGGTGTTGAAGAGGCTCCAGACCCCATTCCATGAGTCTCGGGGTACAAACGGACACCCACTTCCGCTCGTGCTGATGATGCCCCAAAGAAACTTCCTTACGCATGGCTCGTTTGCACGGCACATGTGCTCACTTGCAGGGTCAAGGGGGCTTGGATTCGGGCCTTTGGGGACGGCGCCAGTCCCTCCAGGCACGGCTATGCATACTGCCACGCAAAACCAGGTGTAGAAGCGGGGAAGGTGCAAGTGTCCTCTGGTTCTTTGTTGCCAGTGTCCTGCTCAACTCAAGGATAAGTCGACAACAGCAACTCCGATGGAGCCTTGGACTTTGACTTCTTTCCTGATCGTGCGCGTGCCTTTCCTCCAGCCTGTACGCAGTAGGCCGGTGTTCCACTGGGTCATGCCGGGCGCCCCACGCGTCCAACTTCCAGGCCTCGCTGGGCTTTGGCTTGGGCCTGCAGAGTTCGGTTTCCGTTCGACTTCATTGAAATAATCAAGTGGGAAGTGCTGCCCAAGAGGCATGTCGGTCTTAGGCTGCAATCGAACCTCATGCTCCTCTTTGGAAACATGGTTTTCATTTTTCACGAGCTCCTGGCTGTTGGAAGCTGACACCGGCGATTGGTTCATCTGTTGAAGCAGCATAAGCAGTTGCTGGTCTCCTCTGAAGAGGCTTCCTCTTGCTTTCCGGCCTGCGCCTCGTCCACAGCCTCGGCAGCGAAAACTTCGTAGACTGGTGTCAAAGGCGCAATTCTGCTGCAGAGTGGCATTTAACATTGTGGTGGGATGATGATGATGATGATGATGATGGAAACCGCAAATGGAAAGCTTGAAAAACGACGTAGCGGACAGCATGTGTGATTGGTGCTGGTGGCAGAGGAGGCGTAGAACGAAAGCGAGGAGGTCGAGGAGCACGAGGAAAAGGAAGAGCAGGAGGCGCAGGAGGAAGGCAGCAAGGAGCAAATGAGCAGATGAAAAAAGTCAATACAGTTGTGCACAACGAACAATGCAATCATGGAAGTAGGAACTTGATAATGAACAGCGTTTGTGATGCAGATGATGAAGGAAGACAAAGAGTACTATGCCTGCCAGTAGCCTACACTCAGATGATAACTACCACCATGCCGTAGAACAATGGTGCTGAAAAAGATGCCAGGTAAGATGCTAAAAGAGGACGAGGATTCCTTCACGCGCGAATATCTTTCAACATGAAACTCAGCGAAACTGAACCAAAAAGATCACCTTGCGCTTGACTTAAGTCCTGTACAACCCCTCGCCAATCGGGACCAGGCTGATTGCCCACTATGCGGCATAATACAAAGCTTACAGCCCCTGCATCGCCTACCTCATCCAACCACCACCTGGACCCTGAAAATCAAGCCCATGGGTACACTACACTGTGCTCTAACCAATCCCGAGTAGTCCGAAAACATTCAAAGCCGCAAAGCCAGCCAACCGCCTGCCGGCGGCGACATCGCTCACCCGCCATCCACACAACAAACAAGAAGAAAACGACCGCGAAACCCCCAAAAGCCAACAATGGTGGGAATAGAGGGAGTCCCTCCAAAAACTCGAGACGGGACACCCGCTTTGGGCCCTCCTTAGGAGCCTTAAGCACTCGCATCACCCTGGCTGTCAAATACTGCACGACTTGAAAATTCATCCTATCCCTCCAACGCCTAATACCCACCCAAGTAGACAATATTTGCTGCCCATCCAACCAAGTGCTGAATTTGCCAGCGGCCTCATCAGCAGAAGTATTACTGGCAAACGCCCAAAGATTTTCTGACCCAAATTGTTCTTCAAATTGGGCCTGGGTGAGATGAGACCGAACCCACGTACCATCAAGCCATCTGGAAAAAAGAACCGGCTGAAGTTCCAACCACAAGTCCAGATTAGCACAGTTGGATTTCAACTGGTGCCCATGCACTAGCCTCCGCAATGTTTTGATATTGAGTTGGGAGTCACTAGAAAACGAGACAGCACCACTGGTATGGCGAGACAGCTCCACAATAGCATACAACTTCGCTCTAGGTGCTGACTGAGTTTTGCCTGGCAAGAGCCTGCTTTTCCACGCAATACATTGCCCAGCCCCTCTAGCAGCAACATCCAAAGCAACAGCCGCGATACCCCAGCTACACAAGCGCGTACGAGAGTCACGGTTGCAAGCCAATACAAGTGCAAGCCATCCAAGACGTCAACATTAGCGCGCAGTCCACCAACCTCAACGTGCCCCAACAAATCAGTGCGAACAGAAGCCTGAAGGTGAGTCCAATGGCTAGGAGCTATTCCGTGCAACCAATAACATTGCTGAGTAGGGTCGTCAAGGTGCAAACTCCAGTCAGCTGGGGCAGTACCCAATTCAGCGTTCAAAACCGGACAGTCATACAACAAATCACGCAGGGTGGGACCCGCAGAGCAGAAAGGACCAACCATCTAATGCTCCTTTCTTACCCAACATGTGCTGCAAACAGTTTGAGACCTGAGAAGAGGAAATAGGGGCCAGAGCCTCAGCCGGGTTCAGCGCTGCATGCAACGGGCGCCCTGACGGCAAGAACTCGACACTCATATGACCCCGAACCCCAAAATCACGTCTACAAGTAGCACGCTCAGCGGCAGGTTTTTAGCTATCGGGACGAAGGTGAGAGACCTCATCCCGCTTCAGGATTTTGTGTGCCTCTCTGAGTTTCTCCGCCTTTGCCTCTAAATCATGTTTCTTAGTAACTATCATAGTATTGAAAGCATGCTTGACTCTGGC